GGAGTTTCATTGGATTTGCGTCTTATTACCGGCGGTTCGTTGCGGATTTCGCGACCATTGCTAAGCCCTTACACGCTCTGACGGCGAAGGGAGTGAAATTTCACTGGGGCCAGGAGGAGGAGGTCGCTTTTTGTTCCCTTCTCGACGCTCTCATGCGGGCCCCTCCATTGAGCTACCCCGATTTTTCGGAACCCTTCCTGCTCGATACAGACGCCAGCAATACGGGCATTGGGGGTGTGCTCTCACAGGTGATCTGTGGTGTGGAACGCGTCGTGGCTTATGGCAGTAGGGTTTTGTCTCTGGCGGAACAGAGATACTGCGTCACGCGTCGGGAACTCTTGGCTATTGTATTTATTATGCAACAGTATCGCCCATATCTGTACGGTCGGCATTTCACTGTCCGTACGGACCATGCGGCATTACAATATGCCTTGCAGGTGACGCAGCCTTCGGGGCAATTGTCCCGATGGCTCGAAATCCTTCAGGATTATGATTTCACGACCACATATCGGAAGGGTGCTCGGCACACTAATGCGGATGCGCTGTCTCGCCTGCCGCCCGCCTCAGATTGCGCTTGTCTCAGGGGATCGGGGCGTTGTAAGCCGCCAGAGGATAGCCCCCCCTTAGATATCCCGGTTCTCGCTGCTGCCACTGAGGACCCCTTGCCTGAGGGTCCTGTCGGGGAGGGAGGTGCGGACTCCTTGCTGGGGTTGTCCGTTGCGGAATGGGGGCGCCTCCAGATGGAGGACGCATCCCTCCTCGCGTTGCGTCGTCGCGCAGGGGGTTCCGTGCGGGGGGTCGTGGGGATTGATTCGTACGGGCTGCTCCAGGGGCTCCTAATGCATTGGGATGGGAGGGCCTGCCGTCACAGGCTTGTGGTGCCATCCGCTTTGCGGGGTAAGGCCGTTTGGGCCGCACACGAGTGGCTTTTGCACCTGGGGACCCACAAGACCCTTGCCGTGCTCCAGCTGGATTTCTTCTGGCCGGGTATGGCAAGGGATGTGGATGACCTCCTGGGTGCATACACTCAGTGCGCCCAACGAAAACCACCAGCGAAAGGCGCCTGCCCACGGCTACAATCTATCACGGTCTCTCGGGTTAACGAACTCGTCGCACTCGATATATTGGGGCCCTTCCCTGCGACCCCTAGGGGTAACAAGTACCTGCTGGTTGGCGTGGAATATTTCACCCGATGGCCTATGGCATGGCCTCTCGCTAACCAGTCAGCAGCAGCCGTTGCCGAGGCCTTTGTCCAGGGCTATGTCCTCGACAAGGGTGCTCCCGAACGGCTGCTGACTGACCAAGGGAAGAACTTCTCTGGCGTCCTTCTGCACGAGGTGTGTGCGCTTCTTGGTACGAAAAAGATTCGCACTTCCCCCTATCACCCACAAACCGATGGCATGGTGGAGCGGCTGCATAGGACGCTCACATCTATGTTGTGTCACCAGGTGTGCGGTGACTGAGGTAGAAGCAGTGGCCAAGCAGGAAGTGGTGAAAGATATAGCGGCCAATGTCATAGAGGGGATTGAGAGAGATGCAAAACAGGTATTAGCAGAAGAGGTAGAGCCAAATGAGGTCGATCGGAATGAGGGAATGGCCAAACAGGAAGTGGCGGAGAAAGTTGATAATGTTGTGGAGACAAAGAAAGAGGGAGATGATTGTGTTCAGAAGAAACGTAGGAATAGGAAACTACGAAGGATTGAGATGAAAGTTCGGGAAGTAAAAGAGATGAAGGAAAAGGAGATTGAGAGAGAGGGGAATGATGGAGAACCCAAGAAGGAAGTGGCGAGTCAGGTAGAGGCAAATGAGGTAGACGTAGCGGTGATTGAGGTAGATGCAGTGGCCACACAGGAATTTGTGAAAGAGGTAGTGGCCAATGTCATAGAAGGGATTGAGAGAGATGCCAAGGAGGACTTAGCGAAAGAGGTAGAGGCAAGTGAGGTAAATGGGAATGAGGGAATGGCCAAACAGGAAGTGGCGGAGAAAGTTGAGAATGTTGTGGAGACAAAGAAAGAGGGAGAGAATTGTGTTCAGAGGAAACGTAGGAATAGGAAGCTAAGAAGGACTGAGATGAAAGTTCGGGAAGTAGAAGAGATGAAGGTAAACGAGATTGAGGGAAAGGGGAATGATGGAGAGCCCAAGAAGGAAGTGGCGATTGAGGTAGAGGTAGCGGTGATTGAGGTAGATGCAGTGGCCAAGCAGGAAGTGGTGAAAGAGTTAGTGGCCAATGTCGTAGAAGGGATTGAGAGAGATACAAAGCAGGAATTGGTGAAACAGGTCGAGGCAATTCAGGTCGACACGATCGAAGAAAAGGCCATGCAGGTCTTGATCAATGAGGTAGATACGAATGAGGTAAAAGGCCAAACAGGAAATGGCAAAAAAAAGTTGAGAACGTGGTGGAGGAGATAAAGCAGGCAGGGGCAAATGAGGTTGAAGCATATGAAGTAGATGCCATCCAGGAAGTGGCAAAAGAGGTAGAGGAGATTGAGGGAGAGGCCAAGCAGGAGGTGGTTATGGAGGTAGAGTCGAATGAGTTAGAGGCGAATGGCGTAGAGGTGATTGAGGTAGAAGCAGAGGTAGGGGCTATTGAGGTGGAGGAGAGTGAGGCGATTTTGGTAGAGGCGAATGATGTAGAGGCAATAGAGGTAGACGCAAAAGAAGTAGGAGCTATTGAGTTAGAGGCAAATGAGGTAGAGCTGAAGGAGGTCGACACGATTGAAGACGATACAAAGCAGGAAGTGGTGAATGAGGAAGGAAGATGTGAGCAACCTTAGAGGGCAGAGAGTGTTCAGGAAGAGAAGAAAGAGATTAAGCACATCCCATCTTCTAAGGGAGAGAGAAAGGACAGTTTCTGGCGTTGGACTTGGAGCTTCCTGTGCTGCACACGGCAGCTGGAGAAAGATGAGGAAGAGGAGAATGAACGAGGAGGAGACAGAGGGAAGGAGCGCCAAGACCAGCAGCTGGGAAACAAAAAGAAAGAAAAGTGGTGGAGACTCCGCAGAGGGATAAACTAGCGTGTTCTCCCAGACATAGACATTGAGATGTGGTTGGATGGACATGGATATTTATATATGTATATATATTTAAGTTGTAATAAAAACGTACTTATGTTTCTTGAACTCGACTTCTGGTACAAAATATGTATTACCGAAGCTATCAACAGAAGGTTTGTACAGGATTAACTGCACTTATGGCCAATGTTATGTCGGGCAAACAGGACGAATGATCAGCACGGGACTAAAAGAACATCAGATAAATATTAAATACACGCGTGCCAACAAGAACACTCAATTGATAATGTTGAAGTTCTGTGCAAAAACTAGCTACGACTGGCCAAGACTAATTAGAGAATCTGTCGAAATTGAAAGAAAGAAAAATAATTTTAACCATTTGGATAGCTACTAACTTAGTGCTGCGTGGAAGCAAATCATCAAATAATACATTGTGTAAATGCATGTCTATACAGAGTACCATACTTTAATAGGGATTACTGTTGATACGACTATTTTAATACACAATGGACAGGAAGGACAAGATCTAAGGGCTCGCAGAAGTGTGATCACCACATCTATGCCTCTATTTTTAGGAACGAAACATGTGGACTTCTCCACAAATCTGGCTGTCGCCTGATGAAGCTAGTTGTAATTACTGGCGAAACGTCGTACTCAGATTGTAAATCTTGTGGCTTGGCTCGCCAACACACCGGTGTGCTGGACTAGTGACAAATTGGCATGTTCTGTTTACGTGATAACCCTTACTAGATGGCTGTGCCAAGTGGTGCCGGGTTTTAATGACATTTATATATTTACGTGATCTAACCCGATTCAGTTGCATGCAACCAAGTTACACTCATCGCGCAGGTATGGGGCCGCCTCAAGAAATGCTTGTAATCGATGTATTGATGATGATGCACCATGGTCCCCAGTCTCATACTGATCCCGAGACTCACGCAGTCTGTGCACTCCCAGCTTGTCGGTGAGCGCCGGGTACGTGGGGTCGGCGCCCACGCACACGGCCAGCAGCCGGTGCACAATCACATCCGAGTATCTGTAACGGTACAGGGAGACAACAACAACAATATTCACATTTGTTGTAGCCTCTATTTAATATGAAGATTAAATTTACAGTAGATACAGGCTGCGGTATGGCCACGAGATGCCAACGGAGCAGCGGTATTAATCCACCAAGCATTCATTCTGGTGGATCTCAGCGGGTTTCACGATCCACCAGAAAGCTACGCAAACAATGACTCAGATGGATTTAACGCTGTGATAGAATACTGTACTCTGGACATACCACGTTCTAGCACCATCTGCTGGTGGAAATTATCTTTGTTAATGTATGAATTTAATTCTTTGTTGAGGATTTTTTTATTTGTCATCAGATGTAACGCAAATTGCTGCCTGCTCATATCTGTGTTCTTATTTAAGATCCACAACAAAATCGTTAGCGATCCATGGCAGAATTGCAATTCACTTTTGGCCGCCGCTGCAACACGGCAATGGATTCTTGATTCTGCACGTGGAACACTGTCACCCTCCTTGTAGGCGTTGGTGTTCTCCAGATCCTCTAGTTTTTCACCAACACAAGCCAAACAACCATTTAAGGAATTGGCCAAACTTCCCGTTTATAGGACCTTTTAGAAAAATAAGTCAAAATCTGAATCTTTATCATGGAGAAATCCGATTCGCGATAAAAGCTCTTTTTGACAGATGTCCAGTAGGTAGATGATAGGAGTGCTAAGAATAGGAAAGGTAAACAAATCACTAAAAGTAAATAATAGAAAAAAGATATACAAGTTGTATGTTGAACTTCATTCGCACCGTACGTAGCCAACCGTGCTAATCGGAGGTGTGCCGTAATGACAAGTTAACATTGCATAAGTACATCAATTAATAAATAAATTCCTAAACTTGGGAAAGGCAGCACAGTCCCAGACCACACCAAGACAACAACATAGTCCCCTCAATAATTGCGAAGGTCGATTTCACGCGTGTGCCTGACGCCAGAGCATGTCACCGTCGAATGGGCGATGTGAAGTGGGTGTAGCTGGCGGTGGCGAGCCCGTAGTGGTGGGTGTCGGGCTCCATGCCGGAGCAGAAGTAGATGGCCTGCATCATGCAGCGCGTGGCCAGGATGCGCAGCAGAGTGTTGAGGTATGATGGCGCTCCCGGCACCGCCGCCCGGTCCAGGGACTCGGCCAACGCCTTAGCCGAGTCCACCTGGATCTCGATGTTCTGCGCAAAAAAATCGGGCACACCGGCGTTTGTGAGGTGACTATCCCGCACGTGGCTTGTAGTTCAGTGCTGGGGAAGCAGCAAGGGTTGTGGTGTATTGGAAAGAAAACGTTATTCAGCGCACTTCCTGTAGGCATTCAGGTTTCCATAACCTGGCTTGCCAGAAGGCAGTACAGCAAGTGGATTAATCTACATCTGGCACAGTGCCTGGCTGCCTTCCAGCGTTGTCTGTGGTTCGTCACACCTTTTGAGTTGTTCTGCCTCTAAGGGCGAGTGGAAACTATACGGCTACATCTCAAGATAAAGGTAAAAGGTGCAGCCCTGCAAATGCTCGCTCAGGCCAATACTGACATCGTTTCAAGACACCTCTGCTTCACAGTAGGGGGTAGCACATTCCCACCCATTTTGAGCATAATGTTCATCACAATAAGTCGACCTGATATTTCAACATTTCAGTGCTGGAATTTATCTAAAATTAAATACAGTACTACATTTATCGTGATGGTTTTTTGTTGCTTAATTCTGTGGAGTAGCTGGGAAACGAGCCGAGTCCTTCAACTCCCTACACTTGATAACATAGTATGTTCAATGCGGCTGCTGGATTTTGAAGCCAGGGTCCCAGCTGTAATCTCTGCGTCATAGGGTGACCCAGGTGACCCTTGCAAATGAGACTATTATGGTCTCTTGAGTTCTCACCCGGTTAAACCAAAAGACCTCAAACAAAAATTTGAGCCACCCGGCGACCTCTGAATTCCTTGCGAGGAGGATGATATTGAAGTTAGGTTAACAGCAATCTAGAGACAGTAGAACCCCTCTTAAAGACGGTAATTGGTTCCACGAACCCGAGCATTAAAGGATTTGGTCATTAAGCGAGTATAGGAAATACGTGTTAAAAGCTTAATTCGGTCCGATAGCATCGAAAGTTGTTCACCCAAAAAACGTACTTTATAATATTTAAACAATGGATATTAATACAAAAAGATACTAACGTTATAAACACATCATATTAAAATAAACACTGTTAATAAATGCATTAATTCATTTTGATTTAAAGCTTTCGTGACTGCAGGGATTCATATTCTTGGTTCTTTCGGTAAATTCACGTGGAAGGGAAACAATAAAATAATAAAATATAAAACAATAAAATTATCACGACGTTTCGACTGCAACACAAGCAATCATCATCAGGTGTGAAAACCACAAGAAAATTTGAAAAAAGTGGCGATTATTTTAACGTTAGCACCACGGAGAGAGATTTGATAAACCATTTCGGGTCTTAATTGATTGATCACGCTTAAGGTGGCTTTCAGAACGCATCCATTATTTTTCGTCTCCCCCCTCCTCTTTTCCGAACATAGATGGACTCGTCCATCTGACCAAACTGTCAAATCTCTCTCCGTGGTGCTAACGTTAAAAATAACTGCCGCTTTTTTTCAAATTTTCTTGTTGTGGTTTTCACACCTGATGATGATTGCTTGTGTTGCAGTCGAAACGTCGTGAGAATTTTATTGTTTTATATTTTTATTATTTTAATGTTTCCCTTCTAAGTGGCATTACTTCATATTTACTGTACCTACAACAGCCCGTCGTTAACAGAGAAATGGTCGGTTAACCCTACACATTGAGCTCTATGGAGGCCCATTGTTAAGCGATTAGTTAACAAGGGTGGTCGTTAAAAGGGGTTCTAACTCTACCTTTGATTTCGCCGCCTTCACCAAGATGTCGTAGTTGGAAGGCGGAGGCGCCGGGTGGCGTCGGAGCAACGCACACTCGAGGAATTCGTCTACGATGCGCTCCGCCACGGAGACGTTGGCGAGCAACATGAACTCCTCCACCATCGAGTTGGTCTCCCTGTGTACATGCACCAGTTTCCGCCACCACAACACATCAACCACAAGGGTCAAGATTCTTTATCTTAGATTATTTTGCTGATAATAAATTTCCCACGTGATAAGCCACTTTGTTCAGCTATCATTTGTGGTCAGGGTTTTACTTGGTAAGATAAAAATAGTTTAGTTTTATTTGTATATTTGTTTAAGTTATTTGTTTACCTTTCCAATACTTTGCAATCCTAACGTGTGCTTGTATTGTTTGTTGTTGTAACGTTGTGACCTGCCCCAACTGGACATCTGTGAAAAAAGAGCTTTATAGCTCATCGGATTCTTCCAGTAGAAATATATATTTTGATTCTGATAGAGAGATCTGCACAACAGTCGGATTGCAGTCATGGGAGGTGTCTTGTTGACGAGACTCACTTGAGTTCCTTGGTCTGCAGGTCGATCGGGTCATGGGTTTCGCTGTCCATGTGGAATCGGACCTCAGGGGATGCCAGAGTCAATGCCCTACGGGTGGAGAAGGGACATGAGCGATTATCATGTCCAGCCAAAACAACACAGAATCTTAATATAAGACACTTCACAAACTCAGATATTTGAGTTGAACATGCACAGCTCGTTAAGTCAATCCACTGCTGGATGAGGGCCGCCCCATGTCATGCGGGTCGTGGGGTGGTTTTACCGTACTTAACCGTGGTGGTCAGTACGCGTTGGCAAAGGTGGGGGAGCACAGACATGGGAGCATTAAGTAGAGTAAAACAATTTATGTCACTGCATTGTCCTCTATTGCCCACAATGTAGCCCCGCAGCAGCCTGTAACACTCCAATCTAAAAGCATGTTATTAACCAGGTAAAACCTTAACTTCTTTATTGTTGCCTTCATTTCCGCATCTCCAGCTTCTTCAGCCTCCCACCCCCAGCCCCGCTCACTTCCCCCCCCCCCCCCGGCATTTTGCCGTGCTCGCCCCTTTACTCCCTCTAGCAGCACCCCACTTCCCCTGTCCCACACCCCCCCTCTCTATCTCTCCCCCCTTGCTCCCCCCCACTCTCTTACCTATATAGCCTCTTGTTACAACAGCCCTTTTTTGGCCACTTCAGCAATTGTTTCTGGCTGTGGTTGTCCCACCTGAAGAAGGACGCTTGTGTTGCGCCCGAAACGTCGTGATTTAATTTAGTTGTTATTTTATTTTATAGTTTTACCTACGTGACTTTACTGAAAAAAAAACAAAGAGTATGAATCCTGTAACACTTGTTTGTGCATGGTATTCACCCAAGCCTCATGCATCATGGGGTCAAAAAAAGCTACAGGTGCAGCTTTGCAATTGCTTGCTCAAGCCACTGCTGGAAGAAGGGGGCTCCCATATGAGGGGGCCCCTCTAGAGATACACCCTTTTACAGTTCCTCTCAATGTATTTTAGCCAACTCTTCCACGCTGGCCGGATGTCTTAGAAGACACGGGAGTAACCACACTTTACCGCGCCACAGGCGACCTGCCGATCGACTAAATGTGGTGCACCCATTAATACTGCTCAGCGCTCCAGAGGCGGTGGAGGGGATGAGGATCTTGACAATGAGTTACCCGTTTTGAATGCGCCTCTGCTTGAGGATCTTGGCCAGGGAGTTGAGGCCACGCAAGCTGCTGGTGACTGGGTCCTTCCGCCCGGCGTCGTCCATCATTAGCTGAGCCTCTGCGTACGTCAGAGACGCCTGCGGGGATACGATGAACACACCACGGGTGAACCATGGGGTCCTCGCAATTACACAATGCCCACGCCTGATCCAAGCCCAAGCCAGAACTCAACAGATGTCTACGTGGCTCCCGATGACCACTGAGGGTTACGCTCACCCAAAGACAGCAAAATTGATATTTTTTTAATTCTCAAAGCTGGAATTTAACCATATTTTGTGCAATGTAATTTGGTGGTATTTTGTGCAGTGAGTTTAACACGTAGGCTTTCGTGACCAATATCATCCATAATACAGGTTTTTTGGGTTAGATTGTGTAAATACATAAATGTGTCGTTAAACCCGCCACCACCCGACACAGCCGACAGGTAAGGGTTGTCACATAAACAGAACGTGGCCAATTCGTCACTGGTACAACACAGCGGTGTGCTGTACTCGTGACGAATTGGCATGTTCTGTTTACGTGACAACCCTTATTAGTTGGCTGTGTCGGGTGGGGGTGGGTTTAATGACACATTTACATATTTACACGATCGACCTAAAAAAAAACCTGTGTTTTGTGCAGTGATTGTTGACTGGATAGAGACCATCAACTCACTACTTTCATGTCCTACCTCGCACCTCCGATTAGCACAGTTGGCTACGTACGGTGCAAAAGAAGTTCAACATATATACTACCACTTGTGAACCCGGTTCATCTCGCTACACTTGTGAACCCAGAGGTGCAAGCTCAACGCTCTGACCTCTCAGCCATCCGGAAACCTCAACTGCACTAACATAGCAAGGCACCGATACAATACACGTGAAAGCAGACGAGAGTTTTACAAAAACTGAACGTCCGTGGGGGAGGGGGGGTAATCACCTTGGAATTGATGATGCTCTTGGTAAAACGTGTGCTCACGATCTCAGCCTTTGGAGTCATCTCCCATATGCACGAGAACACCAGCCTGCACGCGCACAGCACATGCACCGTCGCCATTCACCGTCGAGTGGCGGAGTCGTCGTCATTGGAGTGGTGCAGGGTGTTCACTCAGGAAAGCCTCGCAAAGTCTCGAGACTCTTTTTCAGGAGGGTCTTGCCAAGTTTTTGGTAGTCGAGTCATTCTTTCAGCAGCGGGATTTTGACAGATGTCCAGTCGGTAGATGATAGGAGTGCTAGGAATAGGAAAGGTAAACAAATCACTAAAAGTAAATAATAGAAAAAAGATATACAAGTACGTAGCCAATCGTGCTAATCGGAGGTGTGCCATAATGACAAGTTAACATTGCATAAGTACATCAATTAATAAATAAATTCCTAAACTTGGGAAAGGCAGCACAGTCCCAGACCACACCAAGACAACATAGTCCCCTCAATAATCGCGAAGGTCGATTTCACGCGTGTGCCTGACACCAGAGCACGTCACCGTCGAATGGGCGACGTGAAGTGTGTGTAGATGGCGGTGGCGAGCACGTAGTGGTGGGTGTCGGGCTCCATGCCGGAGCAGAAGTAGATGGCCTGCATCATGCAGCGCGTGGCCAGGATGCGCAGCAGAGTGTTGAGGTATGGTGGCGCTCCCTGCACTGCCGCCCGGTCCAGGGACTCGGCCAACGCCTTAGCCGAGTCCACCTGGATCTCGATGTTCTGCGCAAAAAAATCAGGCACACCGGCGTTTGTGAGGTGACTATCCCGCACGTGGCTTGTAGTTCAGTGCTGGGGAAGCAGCAAGGGTTGTGGTGTATTGGAAAGAAAACGTTATTCAGCGCACTTCCTGTAGGCATTCAGGTTTCCATAACCTGGCTTGCCAGGAGAAGGCAGTACAGCAAGTGGATTAATCTACATCTGGCACAGTGCCTGGCTGCCTTCCAGCGTTGTCTGTGGTTCGTCACACCTTTTGAGTTGTTCTGCCTCTAAGGGCGAGTGGAAACTATACGGCTACATCTCAAGATAAAGGTAAAAGGTGCAGCCCTGCAATTGCTCGCTCAGGCCAATACTGACATCGTTTCAAGACACCTCTGCTTCACAGTAGGGGGTAGCACATTCCCACCCATTTTGAGCATAATGTTCATCACAATAAGTCGACCTGATATTTCAACATTTCAGTGCTGGAATTTATCTAAAATTAAATACAGTACTACATTTATCGTGATGGTTTTTTGGTGCTTATTTCTGTGGAGTAGCTGGGAAACGAGCCAAGTCCTTCAACTCCCTACACTTGATAACACAGTATGTTCAATGCGGCTGCTGGATTTTGAAGCCAGGGTCCCAGCTGTAATCTCTGCGTCATAGGGTGACCCAGGTGACCCTTGCAAATGAGACTATTATGGTCTCTTGAGTTTTCACCCGGTTAAACCAAAAGACCTCAAACAAAAATTTGAGCTACCCGGCGACCTCTGAATTCCTTGCGAGGAGGATGATATTGAAGGAAGGTTAACAGCAATCTAGAGACAGTAGAACCCCTCTTAAAGACGGTAATTGGTTCCACGAACACGAGCATTAAAGGATTTGGTCATTAAGCGAGTATAGGAAATACGTGTTAAAAGCTTAATTCGTTCCGATAGCATCGAAAGTTTCCCTTGTTCACCCAAAAAACGTACTTTATAATATTTAAACAATGGATATTAATACATAAAGATACTAACATTATAAACACATCATATTAAAATAAACACTGTTAATAAATGCATGAATTCATTTTGATTTAAAACTTTCCTGACTGCAGGGATTCATATGCTAACGTTAAAAATAACTGCCACTTTTTCAAATTTTCTTGTTGTGGTTTTCACACCTGATGATGATTGCTTGTGTTGCAGTCGAAACGTCGTGATAATTTTATTGTTTTATATATTTTTTATTTTATTGTTTTCCTTCTACGTGGCATTAATTCATATTTACTGTACCTACAACAGCCCGTCGTTAACAGGGAAATGGTCGGTTAAGCCTACACATTGAGCTCTATGGAGGCCCGTTGTTAAGCGATTAGTTAACAAGGGTGGTCGTTAAAAGGGGTTCTAACTCTACCTTTGATTTCGCCGCCTTCACCAAGATGTCGTAGTTGGAAGGCGGAGGCGACGGGTGGCGTCGGAGCAGCGCACACTCGGGGAATTCGTCTACGATGCGCTCCGCCACGGAGATGTTGGCGAGCAACATGAACTCCTCCACCATCGAGTTGGTCTCCCTGTGTACACGCACCAGTTTCCGCCACCACAACACATCAACCACAAGGGTCAAGATTCTTTATCTTAAATTATTTTGCTGATAACAAATTTCCCACGTGATAAGCCACTTTGTTCAGCTATCATTTGTGGTCAGGGTTTTACTTGGTAAGATAAAAATAGTTTAGTTTTATTTGTATATTTGTTTAAGTTATTTGTTTACCTCTCCAATACTTTGCAATCCTAACGTGTGCTTGTATTATTTGTTGTTGTAACGTTGTGACCTGCCCCAACTGGACATCTGTGAAAAAAGAGCTTCATAGCTCATCGGATTCTTCCAGTAGAAATATATATTTGATTCTGATAGAGAGATCTGCACAACAGTCGGATTGCAGTCATGGGAGGTGTCTTGTTGACGAGACTCACTTGAGTTCCTTGGTCTGCAGGTCGATCGGGTCGTGGGTTTCGCTGTCCATGTGGAATCGGACCTCAGGGGATGCCAGAGTCAATGCCCTACGGGTGGAGAAGGGACATGAGCGATTATCATGTCCAGCCAAAACAACACAGAATCTTAATATAAGACACTTCACAAACTCAGATATTTGAGTTGAACATGCACAGCTCGTTAAGTCAATCCACTGCTGGATGAGGGCCGCCCCATGTCATGCGGGTCGTGGGGTGGTTTTACCGTACTTAACCGTGGTGGTCAGTACGCGTTGGCAAAGGTGGGGAAGCACAGACATGGGAGCATTAAGTAGAGTAAAACAATTTATGTCACTGCATTGTCCTCTATTGCCCACAATGTAGCCC